AAAAGTCGTCACAAGATCCATATGAGGATGCTGGAGAGTATGGATCGGATCAGGACTATGTACCAAGTGAAAATTTCACATGTGGAAAGTAATCAAGCCGATTTAGGGCCGCTGCACACATGCCTCTGTTTACCGTGCGGTGTCTGTCCGGCGACGCAATTGCGTTTCCTTAATTGATGCACAGTTTCGTGCGGCAATTCTACGAGTATCCAATCGTTATTTCGCTTGGTTCGACGTTGGAAGTTTTTGAAGAAGATGGAAGTGTACAGACGAAAACGTATAGTTTGTGCTTGCCTTTTATACAAAATGTTAATTTTAAAGAAGAAAAGACAGTATTGGGTACATCCTTTTACGGAATTGCGTCTCACAAGAGGCAGATTTGTAATGGCTTTTGACGACTTAAGACAAAATCCTGAAATTTTTTTTATTACTTCCGAATGAGCATCGCTTTTGATGAGCTTGCAGCAAAAATTTCTGATCGGATAAAGTCGCAAGATACACCGATGAGACGCTCCATTCCTCCACTGGAAATGTTGGCTGTAACGTTAAGGTAAGTTACCTACTTGAAAATGAAATTTTTCAGTGCCAGTAAAATGTGAACAGAACTATATGGTCACTGTCAGCACTCTTAACATATTGCGTTTTCTTATCATAAAGACTATATTGTTCTTCTCACACAAATTATCTACTTATTTCGTAAAATTATTCTGACTACTCATTATCATGTTCACACGCGCTCTATTTAGAAGTAACGAATTTAAAATGTTAGTGTTTTTTGTTTTTTATACAACCTAAAAAAAGTGAGACATTTTTTGGTAAAATCTATTTATTATAAAATAAATTACAAAATAATTTATTTTTGTATATTCGAGTATATATCGAAGGCTGGATCATGCTGCGATTCCGATGAGGTTGATAGGGCAGGTGATACGGGAGGCATATGGGCATGAGGGTTGAACATTGGATGTACATTGTTTGGTACAGTTGCCGGACGGTGCGAAGGGGAAGGGTGAGGAGCTTGTACAAAATGTTGGTGTGAAGGATATGTCTGAGATGTTGAAGGATAGGGGGGCATATTTAATGAGGGTTGTAAAGGAACAGTGTATGTAACACCCGCCTGTTGTCGTTGCCGTATCCTCTGCACGATTCCCAGTATTTCGGAGCTGAACTCCAATTTTTCGTCCTCCAAAAATGAACTAATTGACGGCAACAAGCTTTCAAAAAAGGCTCTATTTGCATTAGGCTCTGGTGTGGGCGCTGGTGGTAGCGCGATCGGAGCCTGAATAAAATCTACCAAGGCTGACTCCAGATCTCGTTTCCTTTTTTTTTGCCGCTGGTCACCAGTGCGAGGAGGAGGTTCTATGGCAGAACTTGGTCCAGGAATGGCCTTTTCTTGCGATTCTTCAGCTTCCTCAAGACTTAAACTCGACTGAGTTTCTGTTGTGGCACCGGCCTGCTGCAAAAATGAGAGTTGGCGGGCGTAAATATATTTTCGACCGCTATCGGCGGCCTGTCCGGACTTTGTCTTCCTCTTCATGCTCTTCATAAAGTTATCTTTAATATTCCGCCATTTTTTGACAAGATTGTTATCTGCAAAGATATTAAGTTTTCATTAATATACAGGGTGGCGCACCTCATTCGCCTCGGTTGATTATACGAAAACGGAAAGATGTAGAAACAAAATATTTTATGGGTATATGTGGGAAAGCAATGTGCATAATTTAAAATTATTCTGAATTGTACAGGGTGTATCAGAACTAAGATCCATACCAACGTTTGGTTTGGTTTGAATCGCAGAGAAATAAACTGTACTAAAAAAATTGATTGCTTCCTTAAATGCATACAGGAATATCAAAACTTGCTGGTCTATTTTAAACATTTATTTTACATAAAAACTTCGTTGTTTCAAATAAAACACTATGTATTTTTTTAAATAAGTTGTAGCAGATTTCAATGCTCTTTCAAACTATATTAGGGTCTCCTATACCTATCTGGCTAAGATTTTGAATAAAAAAAAAACTTAACAGAGATAGGTATAGGAAACCCTAATATAGTTTGAAAGAGTATTTAAATTCAGATTTTCGATTTTTCGAAATTAGAAAAAATACACAGCTAATGGCAAGAAAATATTATTTATTAATATTCACTAAAGCTGTAAGAATTTTGTTCATTTCATATATTTGAGCGGGCCGAAAAACGCTCTTTACCATCTTTTGACGGGAGATGCACTAATATCTCACCGACACTTTACGACATCGTCTGTTGATATAGAAGAAGTTTTGCTTGCCGTATCGGTGAGAACCATCCCCTGGACAGCCCACCTGATGAAGGGTAGGCCCAGAAACCGGTTGTGGGAGTGGAGCTTGGTTCCCCTTTACGACAAGCAAAACAATTTTCTCTTACTTTTTATTTTTTTTAATTTTTCTCTACTTTCGATTTTCGAAATTAGAAAAAAATACACACAGCTAATGGCAAGAAAATATTATTTATTAATATTCACTAAAGCTGTAAAATTTTGTTCATTTTATATATATATATATATATATATATATATATATATATATATATATACTAACTAACTATATATATATATATAAATATTTTCTTGCCTTTTAGCTGTGTATTTTCTCTAATTTCGAGAAAAATCAGTAGAAAAAGAATAAAAAATAAAAAGCAAAAAGAAAATTGTTTGCTCGTCGTAAAGGAGGGGGATAAACTCCCTCAGTATACCATATCAGGAGGGGCAATCGAAATTCTCGGTCTGGCGCATCGGACGATCAAAGTGAAGGTAGCGGCCCGCTCATGGAGATGGACAAGGTTCTTACATATTATAATAATAATAATATGTATGTAATAATAATATGTATAATAATAATAATAATATATGTATATATATATGTATAATAATAATAATAATAATAATAATAATATATACTATATATATATATATATATGTATATATATATATGTATATATATATATATATATATATATATAATATACATATGTATAATATATAATAATATGTATATATGTATATAATAATATATAACTATATATATATATATATATATATATATATATATATATATATATATCACCATCATCTAAACAGTATGAAACTTTCAAAGGCAAACAGGCCAGTTGATGCAATTAATGAGGTCCTTAGGATAGCAAAAGATGCCGAAAACTATGCTTACGCGAATAGAAGATTGTGCGCAGCCATTGCACTTGACGTAAGAAACGCATTTAACAGCGCATCGTGGCAGATAATTCTGGATGAGTTTAAAAAAAGAGGTATTAACGAAGGCTTGACAAGGATAATATCATCATATTTGACAAATCGATATGTTCTGTTAAGTGACCAAAATAACTCCAAAGCTTTGAGGGTTAATAGTGGAGTCCCACAAGGTTCAGTGTTGGGACCAACTCTATGGAATATTTTGTACGATGAACTGCTGAGAACAGAGATGCCAGAGGGAGTTACGCTAATAGGATACGCGGATGATATAGTTTTAGTAGTTACTGCAAAAACGGAAGCTTTACTAATGACACTAGCTAATACGGCCCTGTTAAGAATATCACATTGGATGAATGGGAAAAAATTATCCTTGGCCCCAGAGAAAACAGAAGCAGTACTTTTAACTAAGAAGAGAAAAATAAACACAGTCGTCTTCAATGTCCAAGATGCTATGGTTAGACCAAAGAACTCTATAAAGTACCTTGGAGTATACTTGGACCAAAAACTGTCGTTTGCTGTGCATATCTCAAAAACCATTGAAAAAGCAGGGAGAACAGTCACAGCCCTTTCAAGACTAATGCCTAACGTAGGAGGTCCTCGGACATCAAAAAGAAGAATTCTATCTAGCGTAGTGCACTCACAAATATTGTATGGGGCACCAGCCTGGCATGAAGCGACCAAAAATAAAATTCTCATTTTTTTGTATCGATATTGTTGGCCCTACAAGTATTGCGGTTGTCTTATATTGTGATAAGACTTTATTCCAGAATTTATTATACAATAAAACGTGGTTAAATGTGTACTATTTACTATTGACCAAATTGACCGTTAAATTGTAGGCTCATAATATTATTATTATTAGTGCTCTTTCAAATGAGTTCTTAGGTTGTTTTATTCCAGATATTGTGCAAAATGAACTCTGGATCACGGAGTGCGCTAGTATTGCGCCTCGCTTTGAATCGGTATGAAGTAATAGATACACCTCCGTCTCCACCACATTTAACAGGCGTTTCTCCTGATCTTTCTGAACCTAAATGCGGGTCAGATGGACCGGGTTACATAGAGTGTCTGGAAAGTGTTTTTACACCTCATGGTAAGCTCATTTGTAGTAAGGATTTTATGTGAGTATCTTTTAAATAATATTTTGTTTTACAAAACTCAGAGAAGTTGATAATCAGGCGAATAACACTGATACAGAACTTGCATTTTTGGAAAGCTTGAATGGCGACAAACAAAATCCTGCTCTATTGGAAGTAGCTGTAATAGGTTCTGATGAGGCTGACAGTATTGACACTACATTCCCACGCCAGACAACTGATTTCACTGAACTGCTTCCTTTGGAGAACCCTACTGCTGATCCAGAAATCTGCTTGTCAAGGTACCCAATCGAAAAGACTGAATTAGCTCCTGCAGGCAAATCAATTTTTGAGACTGAAACTAATATTTTAACTAATGAGACTGAATCCGCTCCTGTGGACAAATCAACTTTTGAGACTGAAACCAACCTTTTAACAGGTGGAACAGAATTCGTGCGACATACATTGGCAGTAGCGGCGCATAAAGATGCCGCTGATGACTTCTTAGACTACGATAGTGACGACTCAATCAAGGATCCAAATTATATACCAGACATAGTTAAGAGAGGCAGCTCACCAACATCAGTCCATAATTCTCCGGCTAAGATTACAAAAAAAAAGAAAAATAAATACAGCAAATAGAGAAATTGCGAAAAAAAGAAGAAATGAAGGCTTAGAGTATACATCGTCAACAACGAAAAAAATTGTGAAGGGGAAAAAAATGGGACCACCATGCGCTGAAACCTGCAATTTCAAATGTCAAACCAAAATTGGACCAAGGGAAAGGCAACAATTATTTGATAGTTATTGGAAACTTGGAAATTTAGATAAACAGCGTCATTTTCTTCTCAAATGCATGGAAAAAATTGCTCCAGCGGTGAGATTTACAAACAAACACAACCCAAGACTATTAAACAACTCTTTTAATTTTTTTATCGGTGATGAGAAAAAAAGGGTTTGCAAGCGGTTCTTTATGAACACTCTAGGTATAAGTGATAGACCCATCAGAACCGTTTTGAAAAAAACGAATGAAATGGGATTTTTGGAACCGGAAAAAAGAGGAAAACATGCCAACCACTATCAAATCGATGGTAGGATCAAACAATCAGTTAGAGATTTCATTAATGGCATTCCACGAATGGAAAGTCATTACCTCAGAGCGCAAACATCGCGCGAATATATTGAAGGTGGTAGAAGCCTCGCTGACCTTCACCGAGACTATAAAAAACAGCAAGATGAGAAAGGAGAGTCGCATGCAAATCTTGTAATGTTCTCAAAAATTTTTAATGAAGAATTCAACATTTCATTTTTCTCTCCCAAAGAAGATTTATGCAACTTATGCGAGTCTTTTAAGAATACTCCTGATGACCCTACGCTGACAGAAAAATATGATGATCACCAATATGAGAAAGTACTCAGCAGGATAAGTAAAGACTTGGACAAAGATAATGCACGTGAAAACACATCTTTCATTGTCGCCTGCTTCGACTTACAAGCTGTGATGCCATTCCCTCGTGGCAACACCTCATTGTTTTATTACAAGTCTAAGGTTAACTGCTATAATTTTACCATAACCAACATTTTAAATGGTGAGACGAAATGTTATTTTTGGCATCAGGGAGAAGGAAACAGGGGAGCTAATGAAATAGCGTCCTGTATCTTCCAATATTTGGAAGACCTGACCATAAAAATGAATGATGAAAATTTAGAAGTTGTGTTTTACAGTGACAATTGTTGTGGACAGAACAAGAATAAATTTGTCATGGCGATGTTCTTGTATGCTGTTCATCACTTAAAAATAAAAAGTATAAGCCACAGATTTCTAATCTGCGGTCATACGCAGAATGAAGGCGACGCTGCTCATTCAGTGATCGAAAAAGCTGTGAAGCAAGCTCTGAAGAGAGGGCCAATATTTTTACCTCAACAATATGTAACAATTATACGAGGCGCTAAAAAGACAGGGTTACCCTATGAAGTGAAAGAACTGTGCTATAGTGATTTTTATGACATAAAGAACCTTCAGACACAGCTGGGCAACAACTTTGATAGAGGGATAAACGGGGAAACAGTTTTATGTTCAAATATAAAAGTCGTGAAATATGAAAAGGATAAACCTTTTTCTCTCCAAGTGAAAACCTCCTATGAAAGTGAAGATTATCTGGAGATAGTAACAAGAAAGAGAACAAGGAAAAATCAGATGGTTCTGGTTCCGGCCTATACAACTAGGCCAAGGATTGATGCAAAGAAAAAAAGAGACTTACTAGAGTTATTTGATGCTAGCGCGATTCCTAAGTCGTACTTACTTGTTTATCAGGTCTTATTGGATTTTGACAATAGCCTTTAATTAAACAAATCGTTTAATATTTCAAATTTCGTTTTTATGCTGTTTTCTATCACATGAAAACAAAATGTTATATTTTTTGTTACATTTATGTTACATTTACATTTTGTAATGTTGTTCTAAGTCATACTTACCTGTTTATCAGGCCATTTGCATATTGGATTTTAAGAATAGCCTTTCATTTTGTTTCATTTTTCAAATTTAATATTCGTTTTTATGTTGTTTTCCCTTACATGAAAACAAGATGTTATATTTTTTTGTTACATTTATGTTACACTTACATTTTGTAATGTTGTTCTAAGTCATACTTACCTGTTTATCAGGCCATATTCCATATTGGATTTTAAGAATAGCCTTAAATTTCGTTTATTTTTTTCGTTTTTATGTTGTTTTCTCTTACATGAAAACAAAATGTTATATTTTTTGTTACATTTACCTTTTATAATGTTGTTCTCTTCATACATAAACCCAAATTTAATAAGTCTAATGCAGTTTTATTTAACCATAGTTCATAACCTATTGAATAAAAATAAAATTTACATCAACAGTAATGCCATATCACTTAATTTTTTCCTGTTTTTGGATATCTCTATAAATTTTACATTAAATTATACATCATTAATCAGTAGAGACATCTTCAATCTATACGTATACCAAATTTGGTAGCCTCCAGTAGTGATATTGCTCCGCAAGAACATATTACAATCACAATTTTTTTTGTTTCGCGTCTCCTGTAAAATAGGCAATTATAGGGTTATGGCACTATTGAAACGGGGGTGCGATATTATGAGACCGTTTAGCGGAAAGGTTTTGTCAGATAAACAGCGGATATTTAACTACAGATTGTCTCGCGCGCGTAGGAATATAGAAAGTTCGTTCGGTATATTATCTAATAAATGGAAAATTTTTCAAAAACCAATTAATGTCGACTTGGATTTAGCAATATCCTTAATTAAGACTTGTTGTGTTCTGCATAATTTTGTTCGATCTAAAGATGGCTTCACCATTCAACCGCACTAAGTGTTGAAGGATTTGTTGATATAGACCAGGATGCAAGACCATCAAGGGCACCTATGCAATTTATCCAAGTTAGAAATCATCTAGCTGATTATTTTACATCTGGGGTTGGCAGCGTGCCTTGGCAAAGGAATTACATATAATCTTTTGTGCAAAAAAATGTTGATTAAGAAAGTCCGAGTATTGTCCAATACGTTTCTACTGAATTTCAATAAATTAAACCTTCTGTGTATAATTAATTAAACTGAATTGTATTCTTGTTCAAAATTATGTTTGGAAATTTTATTTATGTTGCACCCACAATTTTTGTTTATGATGTAACAAAAAATAGATCAAATATTAATTCATGTTGTACTTACATATTTCGTTTTTCTCTCTTTCTTCCATTTCGTCAAATGTTGTCACAAATTTTCGACAAATGGCGATCCACGCACCTCGTTTTTTGATACGGTTATAACAGTCTTTCACTCTATAACAGTTTTTTCTAGAGAGCTATTACTAACGCCTAACAGTCGGTCTTTTTGTTCTCGGGCGCCACCCCCAAAGTTTAAAGTGTTTGAGAGACCACCTCGGCCAATACGGGTAGCTTTTCTACAGTGGAGAATCCAGGGAAATGGGGTAAAAGCCAGTTAAAGTCGAATATATTCCATAACGAGGTTTATTTAAATAAATTAATTATGAATCCAATATCTTCAAATAAATAAAATATGAAGAAAATACTAAAACATGAAATATCGCAAAATCTAACACAGAGAAATTAAATCAGTTAATTATAACAGCACATAATTAAGTTCATATTATTTAAATTCAATATCTTCAAATAAATAAAATAGAAAAATACTAGCAATACATATTCACATGCATCTTTAAATAAATCAGATATATAAGAAATATTATTATTATGGTAAAATAAAAGAGGAACCTTAATTAACTCCTCCTCCGTAAAGGAATTTTATACCATAAAAATCAAATAAAAAAAAAACTCTACTGTGCTGAAACTAAAATTTGTGATTACTAGAACTCTGATGGGGTATCTGGCGGTTACAAAAAAGAAAGAATGTGATTACCTCTTTTTTTTTGAAGTAAATCGGCGTCGGATCAAACGAAACGGTCTGGTTTTCTGAACCGCCTACAGCAGCCCGGAATCCAGGCACACTAATTATTCACGGTCAGGTATAAACAAAACTTAAGAAAATCGGCGTCGGGTCAAAACGAAACGGTCTGGTTGCCTATTCACGGTCAGGTATAAAAAACTTAAATGCTCGGTTTTTAACTATCTATACTCATAAATCAGAAATACGGTTTAGACTTATTTTAAATCAAATCTCTGCGACCACGATTTATACTTATTTAAAATGAAAAACGGAGATACGGTACTTTTACTTTAAAACTCAAGAATTCGGTTTTTACAGCAGCGCTGATAAAAAAACGGATCAGACTCGCGAGGTTTTCTTAGAAAAGTTCACCGGTACTTAGTCTCAACAGGAAAAACCCCGTTTTCTCGCTCCCGTCGCTTAAATAATCTTTCTCGTCGGGAACCACGAACCACGTTCGGTTACCATCGTCCTACCTCCCATCAAAATTCCTTACAGTAAAAAAAACGGTTTTTACCCGTCGATCCTACAAAAAAACATTTGCTGTTTGTACCAACAAAAAAAACTTCAACGTCTTCATGCAAATCGACGAAATATTTAACACAATTTTATCAGCAAATAATTTTTAATATTAAAAGTATTTTTCAGTTTTAGACTATCATAACAGTTCTAAAAATAAAAATAAACCATACTAAGCTTGTCTAAGAATTATTTGTTACCATAATCCTTCAAAACAAATGCACATATCAAATTCTACTTATATACAGTATGGTTCATAAATCCACAAACGCTATCCGTCCTGGTGATCAAAAAAACAAATATTTAAATATTTACCATGAGAATATTAATGATAAAAAAAATAAAAAAGTTAGGTCCCAAGGCAGGATCGAACCCGGGCCCTTCGGTGTACCAGCGAAGTACTTTCACGCCGCGATATCGTGCCGTGTTTGACGGCAACATCCCAAATTTCAGGATGCTTTTTTACCTCTTCAATAAACAGCTCAATATCCAGTTCATCTGTCATTCTGAATTCCGGCAAAATATCGCACGTGTGCATCGACGCATAAGCGATAGCGTACTAACGAACGTGCTTGCGGCTTAGGCACGCTCAGGCCACCGCACGTTCTCGACGGGAACTACGGCGCCAGGTTCACGCAAAAACGGCAGGCGGCGCCGCTGCGGCGCCGGAGCTGTGTGTGAATGGATTCGTATGATTAATAGTACTGTAGACCGCAATTGCGTCGTCGGACAGACACCGCACGGTAAACAGACGCATGTGTGCAGCGGCCCTTAAGCGCCAATTCGGAGGCTGACGATGGCCCTAATAGTGACCAGGACCTTTCTCCAAGTTTATCACCGACAGTGCCTATTCAGCAGGCTCAAAACAATGGGGACAGCGATTGGGAGGACAACAACAGATATACCAGATTTTTACTTCGATGAAGCTGGTAACTCTTTGAAAATAGCCTTTGATGCCACCTCTATCCCACTTCAGGTATTTCAACAACTTTTCACTCCTGAAATACAAGAATATATTTTACAATGCTCAAATGACTATGGAAATGGCTTAGTCAACATCAAGAGACCAAAAACTAGATTTTGTAGAGACGCAAATTTCCGGCCCATTTCAATTGATGAATTGAAGCAATTTCTTGGCTTATGGTGCTTCAGGGCCAGATATCTACAAAAAAATATATAATGCTACTTTTCTTACTCTGATCCGTTGTATTATCATCCAGTCTTCAGTTTCACCATGTCGGGAAGGCGCTACCAACAAATCCTCAGAGTTATCTGCTGTTCTCTTCCTGGTTCGAGATCCAAAGGCAAGGTGCAACCCCTTCTCGATATGTTGATCGCCCGATTCCAGAGCGTCTACGGTCCAGGCAAGGAACTTTCTTTGAATGAAAGCTTCTTACATTTTCGTGGAAAATTAGGATTCCGAGTGTATATAAAAAAACGAGAAAAGTTTGTCAGTCTATGTGTTTGTTTAATATTGAATAGATGTATTAGTAGTTGCTGTGTTAAAATGTAAATATATAAGTTGTTTTTATGACGTCCAAGTTTATAATAACATGTTTTGATAAAGATCTAATATAGATCGAAACGTAAACTTTGATAATGTGTTTCACTGCAGAATAAAAAAATAAACAAATTTATATACGGACCATAACCCCAAGAACCAATTTTCAAAAAAAAAAAACAAGAAAAGTAGATATGGCATCAAGTTCTTCGAGGTAACCACTTCAGATGGGTATGTACTCAATATGGAAATAGATAGTAGTGCTCAGACTGCAGCACCTGACGATAGCGCCAGTAAAACTACCGCTCTCGTACTGAGACTGCTGGATAGTTGAGTATCGTGCGTCGTACAGTGTACATCGCAGTCCGTTAGTATTCGCGCTCGGTTTTTCGCGCCGGTAGTGCCCCCTAACCACAAAAACTTGCTCGATTCTTCTGAGTAAGCCCCACCTACCACAGCCTTAGTCCAAGAGGCGTGGCTTAGCATTCACCAATCATGTCCCCTAAAAAGTGGAAAACCAAACCGTCATTAACAGTCACTGAAAGCATGGGGATTCCCGAATCTCCTGCGTCCACTTTAAATCACCCCGAAAATTATATCTATTTCGCTGACCCCTCAGTTGATTAGACACAACAAAAGTCTATTCCAAAGAAGAAATAGCTGAATAACTCCTCGTAGCCTACGTATCTCACACGTATCTCACAGATGGATCATTCTAAATCAGCTCAACTCTCCAACGATTGGGACTGTCACTAAAGATAATCTTTTCCCCATGGCTGAGAGAAAACGGGTGGGAGAAAGAGACAACGAAAGACTAGCTCTGACGAGTCTCTTATCTCCACAACAAAAACAAAAAACAGAGTAGCCTCAAG